AGGGCATCTCAGCTGGAGGGAGCCAGGACATGGTCCAGCCAAGCGGGAATCAATGCCTGGGCAGGAGAGCGGGATGGGCTGCAGGCTGACGGGGATGATGCTCCTCTCAGAAACAACAGCCCCTGCCCACCGCTGCTGCAGAAGGGTCATGAGCAAACACACTGGGTGCCCTGGGAAACTGTGAAAGGAACCATAGCCATTGGGCCAGAAGAGTCCATTAGATCATCTTTTCCTCACTGAGGGCCAAATGTGATTTTCAAATACCTTTTGAGAGCCACACGGTGACACACCACTTAGTATTAGAAAGTCTACATTTTCAGTAAGGCACTGATGCCGAGGAAAAAAGGACCAGGTTCAATTGCAAGGCTCTTGTAGTAAAACCACACTCACCCATTATCTAATAAACTTGGAAATTTGATTACAATGTCTGAGATCTAAAGCATGAATGATACTTCCCACTGCCATACAGGTTAGACAAAAATACTGAACCCAGGGGCCCTTAAGACTTTCCCCCTTCCAGCTGTTAGATGTCCAGGACGATCTTTTCCCCCCCTCCTCTCTAGGAGTCCATGGGACCCTGTCAGCATCAGCAGGACTGACCATCTCTCTCTTTCCCCGTGGATGGTGGGTAGAGGGGTCACAGAGAGCAGCAAGAGGCAAAGTGACAGGCTGGTCCCCATGGGATGACACTGGGCCCCTCTCCATGGAGGCAGGACATGCAACAGGTACTGGGGGTGGGGCAATAAACTGTGGACCAGAGCTGGCGATGGCAAGCTGTCTCATCCAGAGAGGGATGGCAAATGTTGCAAAGCTGATCTGGAGGAGGGTTAAGTCTGAGCCTGATCCAGCCTGAGGGTGAGCGAGTTGCCGTTGCTGACACCTCACTGCAGGATTTCACCCATGTCCCCTTTGGCAGAGCCGCAGAAACTCCCTTCCACCATCGCAGACCCAGAAAAGCGTCTGGTCTCTGTCGGGAGATGCCAAGAGCTGGAGAAGCCACCATTTCTTCTGCTTGTTTATTCTGGTTGTTAATCTCCTTTCACCGATTAAAAGTTTATAACTCATTTCTCAGTTGAATTTGCCTGGAGTTAAGTCCCAGCCTTCTTGCTATGCTTTTCTCCCCTGGACTAAAAAGCTCTGCCGTGCCCAGAATTTCTGTCCATGACGATACTTACACTTTGTAATCACATCATCCCTTGATCTTTTTGATCAGCCCACCAGGCTGAACTCCTCAGTCCCGGAGAGATCTCTTGAAGATAGCAGTGGTGAGCAGAAACACTGGTTTTATGCTAGACTGGCTCCACACACAGCTGAGTGCACGGGATGAGGTTCCCCTGTTTAATATCACTGACACAGGCCATGAATATGGGTGAGGGTTTGGAGATTAAACCGTTTGAAAGGATTAAACAGACTCCCCAGTCTCTGTAACAATATATTATTGTTCAGTGAAGATGACCAAACTACAAAACTTTGTACCTTTTCAATATTTCCCCTCCTTGTGAATCATAACAGGTGTTTCTTTCCTCAGCATCTTCTGCTTTACTCACCCTACTTCATCCTTATGCAAACCCAACAATATTTACTGTCTCATCCTGGTTTAGATTAAACTACTCTGAAGTTGCCAACCTCTCCCTCAGAATCTGTGTAAAAACAATTGTGTTTATGTAAGCTCCGGGATCAGTAGCTGTAACAGCAGGACACCAGCCGGGCGGCAGGCAGGGAGCACAGCCTGGAGAGGAGCTGCTCTGGGGATGATGGCAAGTACCTGCCCCAGCCTGCACACTCAGGGGACCAGTGATGGTGGGGTGTGTGTCTGGGTGTGTGTGTGCGTGTGTAAAAGAGGGATGCAGGGAGCCCAGAAGCAGATGCAGAGGAGAGGCAGGCTGGCAGCCGGCACGCCAGACCACACAGAGCGGCTCTGACAGAAGGAGCAATTTGGGAGGGCACCAGAAGAAATTTCATTTTGAACTGGGAGCAAATAATTGTCCCTGGTTGCATAAGCTGTCCTGTGCCCTGTACACTCTGTATAGCTCTGTGAAGAAAGGGGATTGCATTGAGGAAATAGCCAAATTAATCTTCAATTTCTTCTCCTAACAAATATAATCTGCAGGATCCAAAAATCTGGCTACATACTCAGGTTGGAAGAAGGTAGTGGCATTTGACTAGTAGCAAAGTAAACAGAGAAATGGAGTTTGCGGTGGTACCTTTGGCAGGGATGTGTTGGTGCTCCAGGATGTCTCTTGCATTCACAGTGCAGCTGGGTCTGGCACCCCTGGCTTTATTCATTGGATTTGGAGGTGTGGAGCTGGAGATCATGGAGGAGATCATGGAGCAGAGGACCAGCTCTCCTCTCTGACCTCATGAACCTCATACCAACACTTTCAAGTCCCTATAGTAGCTACAGAGATAATTTGGTCTCAAAGAACTTTCCAGAAGCTGACAGCAAAGCCTCCAGCTTCACTGTAGGGATGGCTGGCTGGACACACACCTGGGTTTTGTGGTGGTACATAACACTGAGTCTAACAGCCCCAGCTGCCTTGTTCCATCCCCATGCACATACATGGATCACCCAGCAGCTCGGGTCACACGCAGCCCTGCTCTTGGTGCTGTGAGCCATGGCCTGATGGCTCGCAAGCTCTCATGGCCCACAAGCCACACATCAGCCAAGTGACCGTCCCTGTTCTAGCAGTGGCTTCCTGACTGCTGGCTGATCCCCTACTATCACTTACCGCCCTTGCAGCTGAAAATAGTGATTGCAACATCAATCAATTAATTTATTTTGCATTTTTTTCTTTAAGAATGAGTGAATTCATTTTTTAAGGTAGGGTAGTGCAAAGACGGTAAATGTTATTGCATAGCAGCAGCAACTTAAAACCGTCCAAGAAGAGCTCTTTCTCTTTCTTTCTCTCTTTTTTCTTTGTGAGTGGAAAAAATGTTAAAAACAAATCTCCAAATTTGCTTGTAGGCTGAGATTTCTGCCAAGTGAATATTTATGTCCAAGTTTGAAAGATGGGGCGTATAATGGAAGTGTTGAAATACTCTCAAGCAATCCGGAGCTGTTTGATGACATACTCTACAAGGTCAGCCCTGTTTGCTGTTAAAATCAGTGGTAAAACTTCCTCTAAATTCATGGGGAAACAGGATCAGGCCCTTTATTTAATTTGTTTCTATCTTGGTAGGAGGTTTCTTGTTCCTCTAAAATGTGCCTATAGGTGATCTCATGATCCCTGTTGTCCATGTGTGCTGGCAACGTCCTCAAGTAGTTACAGTGCTCAGACATGACAGCGTGCCAGATTACCTGCAGTCCACATGTCACCAGGGGGCTGCAGTTTGGGGAATACTGTTTTTTCATAAGGATTACCAAATTTTCCCTGCAAATACTACCTCCTAGAAATAAACAGAAAATTTGCTTTCATCAAGAAAACAAGGAAAACATAGTCTCTGCCTTTCTTGGGATTTCAGATGGATATGGTTGAAAATTTCTTACTCTGTTTCCAAGTAAAAATGAAGCTGGATACCTAGATTTTTGCCTTAAGTGGAAGGGGAGAGGCAGGCTATCGATCACACCTCATGCAAGGCAGCTGCCCTGTGTCCTCAGAGCTCTGCCATGAGTCAACTACATATTTTGCTGAGGAAGATACCAGAGCTTTTATAGGATGTGTTTTGACAGAACTGTGGCCGATCACATCCAGAAGTGAACACAGTTCCCCTGTGTTTCCATACCTGCTCCAGGACTCTGGCACTAACATTCAAGTATTTGAGATATCCACCATCTCCAGAACACACAGAAAATGTGCAACTAAGTCACAGATGAAAATTTTGGCCTTAATTCCTGATACTGTATAGAAATTGCCCCAGGTTTTCCTTAGAACAGGAATGAATAGGATCTTCCAAAGATTAAAGTATATTTTCTGTTAGGATCTGGCATTTTGATTTGAATGAATTTTTTTGGTGAAGTGGCGATCATCACACATTATAGCATCCACCCTTGGCTTACATTTCTAGACCTAGGCTTGGATTTCAAAGCTTGGCAGTGTTAGAAGGTAGGATTTTGATTCAGACCCCACCTGCTGACAAGAAATAGGTTGCTCTGAATTTTTTTTTTCTTTTCTCTTTTTAAACACAAGAACAGCCACCACAACATAATAAAAAAATACTCCTTTGTATTTTTGTACTTTCCCAAGTGTTCAAAGAAAACAACAGACAGAGCTAATGCTCATCTGTGGAGAGAGCCACCACCACCACCACCACCACCACCACCATTTTGCCTTAACCCTCTCTGTCTCTGCGTCGAATCCTCCCAGCTGCAAGTTGCAGCCGTTCCCACACCAGACATCTCCTTCCACTGCACCACAGCCTTTCCTCTGTGCACAGCGGGAGACTGCTGTAGAAACCCAGCCGCAGGACCTGCTGGTTACGGCATGAGCTGCACTGTGGGCAGGAGAGCTCACTCAACTCCTTTGCCCCAGCAGCCGTGAAAGGGCTGTGCAGCACTTTGACTTTCCTCAGAGATAGCTTACATTGCTCAGCAAATACTGGTTTTACCTAGTAAGATCCTGGGTTGTGTTTTGCTGCATTTTTTTTACAAATATATAAATACGAGGTGCTGGAAAGTTTGCGGGTTTACACCCTTTTTTGAGGTCTTCTCTTTTTCACTTTCTTTGAAAACTCCAGAGGAATTAGCTGTGTCCAAAGGTGTTGCCATCTACCCAGCTCCTGACCCTCACCCTCTGCCCCATTCCAGTTGCAATTTCACCCAAACATGCACAAAAAAACCCTTGGGGGAAATCTTTTGTGTCTGGACCCTAAGTCACATGTGAAAATGGAAAGTCAAGTTTGTTGTTAAAAAAAAGCTATATTTTTAAAGTTATTTATACCTTGTGGAATGCCCTGGGTTTGCAAATACTGAGAAGTGTTGTGCAGCAAGTGGGAAGCTCTCCCCTTGCAGGAGAAGAGAGGCAGCCCCCATCAGCCGCAGCAGAGCTGAGCTGGGGACTTTCTCACAGGTCACATCCTTCCACCCACTCAGACAGGTCTCGTCCCTTGCAGTGCATTGCCCAGCCCTCCCTGAGGACAGAATAAGCAAAGAGATGCTATTTAGGACTGATACCATTCATATCCAATACGAGCAGGTTCTGTTTTCTGTAGGGTCCTTCCCAGTGAGGGACTTCCCGTCACTAGCACTGAAAAAGGACTTGCAGACCCTCCAACTCTGGCTGAGCATCTTTCATTGAGGAGTGCAGCCACCACTATCTCACGATGCCACCCGAGCTCTCTCTAAGTCCTGGCCAGGAACAACGAATTGCAATGGCAGGTCCTGCCACCTCCTGCCACTGCAAGAATCCCTCCTTTGCTGGGATGTCGCAGCTGAGCACAGCGTGTTGCGTGTGCAGAGGACTGTGCAACAGCAATGCTCACCACAGGGGCCCTGAGACTGTTCGCTGCCTATGCCGCACAAATTGCTTACCTCACCTCTACTCAGAAACGCTGCTGCTTTTGTGGTGAGCCAGGCTTTGCAGCAGCCCACCACAGGAAGCAAAAACGGCTAATGAGTCCAACTGCAATGGTGGGGAGGGGGCGGGGGGAATCTGAAGGCAGAATCTTGTCCCTCAACTTGGAACGTATTCAGGATTCAGTGGTTAATGCCACTATTTTTGCACAAAATGCCTTGGGAGTTCAGACAACCACATATTTATATGATCGTTGGAATTGTCTTCTACCCCCCACTTCTGTTTTCTCAGCCTGTTGGCTACTCTGCCTTTACAGGCTTCCTACGTTATAGCAGCCTGGAGTCCCATGGATGGTTCAGGGCTGCACCAAGCAAGGGCTGTCATCTAGATTCATCAGGATATTTCAGTGATTAATGCTCTCAAATGCTCTGGGAATAATTGTTTCCACACTAGGTGCTTCCAGCTAAGATAAAAGACAGCAAAAAGTGGGGGAAGGAGCTCTTTGAAGGACTTTGAAAGCGTAAGACAGAGAGAAATCTTCAAGGCCTAACCTACTAGCTGATGGGCTCTTTACTGACCATCTATTGTCCTCCTGAGATTTTTTTCTGAAACATTTTTTTCTCTGCTCCTTCCTCCCTAGTCTCTGCTGTGAGATGCTTTGCAGAGACTGAAGCGGTGCAAGGTCGTCTTTCCATTTCCACTCATCTGCAAAGCCTTGAAGTCGTGGTTCCTCCTCTTTGGTGCAGCTGTGCTGCCTTTGTGTGACAGTCAGGCAAAGGGCGGCCATGCCCCTTCAGAAACACACGCGAGCCCTGCCAAAGAAACGGTCCCCGAAGCCCCTTACCAGGCATCCATTCCTTGTGGGTTTCTCACAATTCTTTTGGCACAGATGATGTCATCAGTTATGTTACTCGATAGCAGATCTGCAGGGAGAGAAGCAAAGCCTCGTGAGCTCACTCGAGGGCAGGACACCAGCGTGGAGCAGATTTCCCCCCTGGGCACAGCGAGAGCCGGGCACTCAAGCAGCCCTGGGCAGCGGTGCAGGGCTGGACGTTGCTCATCCTCCCCACTGCTGGGTGGCTGTCAGCCTCACGTGCTTGAATGTGCCAGGCAGGCACCCTCATCTGCTTCTGCAAGGCCAGCAACATCCATAAATACATGTTTTCCCCTGCAAATGCTGGTGTGTCTGCCTCTGTAATCACACGTGAGAGAGAAATGGAAGGAGGGGGAAAAATGGGAGAAGACCCATCTATGCTTACGATATTTCAATCCCTTCCTGCTTGCTCTACTGGGAAAAAAAGCTATTAGGGAGCTTTTCTGCCTATCTGAAAAAGGAAGTTTTGGTCTGAACAGGAATGGGAGCTCCAGCCCCAGGCTCCCAGACCTTGGGTTTTGCCACATAGCAGGATGTCTGCTGGTCAGACACAGCAAAACCTTTCCCATGTCTGCTTAGGAGCTCCCCATGGGTCGTAGATCCCAAGCCAAGACTTGGATCTGCCTGGCAGTAATACAACCTTGGTGATCACTTTCCCAACTACTCACTCCACAACGAGGGGGATGCATTTATCTCATTCAGCCCCACATCACAACCCACCCAAATCAGGACTGCCTATCTTCCACCCACAGTCAAAACACCCAGAGGGCCCTGGGGTCCCTAGTATCCCAGGAGAGGAAAGGGTGGATAAGGCCATTCGTCACCCCCAGCTTCCTGCAGCCACAGGCATCATGTTCCCCAGGCTGTGCCCCGCATGACCCTGCAGCTCCATTTTGGCCACGGGGTGAAGTTGGGCAGAGCGGGAGGGCCTGGGCTGCTGCCTCCACTCCTGGGGCTGGTTCTGGGGGAGCAGTGGCATGGTACCCCTGCAAGCCATCCTGCAGCGGTTATCCGAGGGGCTGTGGTCGTCGGTGCACCACTGCTGGCTGCTGATCTGGAAGATGCCATAGTCGGCACTGCCGTCCGCTTTGATGCTCTGTGCTGCCGTGTTGAAGGTGCTCTCGTAAAAGGCCATGCAGAGCCCTGGGCAGGGGCAGAAAGCACGCAGGCTGTGCTGCATCTGCCATCCATGGGGATAGTGGCAGCCAGGAATGAAAGACTGTGGGGAGACAGGGGACTGAAACTCACAGTTGGCGAGGCTGTAGCCCCCATAGCCATCCAGCCCCTCTTCCTGGAGCAGGCGAGCCAGCTCACACCGGCTGAACACCTTGGCTTTGGTGACCACGGTCAGCAAGGCCAGCAGCAGCAGCAGGGGACACCCCATTCCTACAGGGCTGCTGGCCCTCATGTACTGGGATCCCCAGGGGGAAAGGTAAAAACAAGGCATAAGCAGGCAGTAAAGCACAGTTAGACATCCAAAGCCAGCTCCCCAGCAGGTAGTGACACGGCTAGCTCTGGCAACCCCAAGCTGCTCACACCTGCTGTTGGGGTGTGCGCACCCACACATGCAGGCATGCATGTACTCAGAGGCTGTGCCGGACAGCCTGGGCCACAAACAGGTTTTATCAGTGCAGACGTGGAAAACACAGAGCTTCAGGCACTGTCACTTTGCAGTTTTCGTATATTAGTGGTGAAAGGTCAGGTGTCCCATGGGAACTGGAAAGCTGACAAATGGGACCCACTAAGGGAAGGGTTAC